CCCTGTGCTGAGTTCCCGGGTCTGTACACCCGCTGTGCCCATTATGAGGGGCTCCCACCATCCCTGTGCTGAGTTCCCGGGTCTGTACACCCGCTGTGCCCATTATGAGGGGCTCCCCCCATCCCTGTGCTGAGTTCCCGGGTCTGTACCCTCGCTGTGCCCATTATGAGGGGCCCCCACCATCCCTGTGCTGAGTTCCCATTATGAGGCCAGATTTTTCCAACTGTTACTCCTAACTCCGGATTTTAATCCACCCCAAACCATCAAGTTTTCCGAGCACGAAGGCAGCATGGAGGGGCTCAGAGAAGGTGGCGGTGAAGCTGTGCAGGTGTCTGATGGGGTTACCCAGCTCATAAAAGGACAGCCGCCCAGCCTCATAGTCCAAATAGACTCCAATTCTCCTCCTGCAAACCCTGCGGGGCAAATTTATCACCTTCGCGTTATGTTTTGCACTATAGACGTCACCAAGCACGACAATGCACCAGGACTTGTTGTCATTCCCAAGCAATGTCTCGTTTTCTCCTCTCCCTACACTGGGGTAGCTCATCCCAACCCCCCACCACCCTGTTTTGCTGGTCTCCACCTCCCGGTAACGTCGGCCTGAGGAAAATCCCCGGGTGGATACAATTTGCGGCCAGCGAAACCTCTGCGCTGTAGCCGGGCGGTCGACGTCCGCAGCGAGCAGGGAGGCGGTTTTTAAATCTCCCGAGATGCCGATGATGTTACTCGCTGAGTCTTCATCCAGGAAGAGATCCGCTGCCTCCGGGACGTTCATTCTTCTCTTAGCACCTCGGAAAATATCTGCTAGAGCTTTGTGTATCATCACCGGGACCCAACACTCATTTAGGTCTTCAGAGTTCCCGCAATCTTGAAGGTCTGCTTCTTGTACACGAGCTCCTAATGCTGGGTCCTTCCGCGGCTTCCGTGGCTTCTGAACTTGAACTATCTCACTGTGCAGCTCATCACTCTTCATTAGACATGTGCGATTCGTTTCGTTACGAATCGAAATTCGTACGCATTCTCCTGAAATTCGTAGATTCGTAAGCATACGAAATCCGAATGGCAGTTTCCGAATTTATATCCGAAATACGAAATTCAGTTAACGAATTTCGGATCCGAATTTCTTTGAAACGGGAACTAATATTACCCCTGTAAATGAGGTTGAACAACATGACAAGATTTTTTTTTTAATCCGAAATACGGATCCGCTGCTGCTGAGAGTCGCATTACAATACACAGGCAGGAAATACGAAATTCCGTTACGAACATTCGTTATATTGAAGGTAAAAAGCAAAGTACATTTATATGGGAGTTGATGGTAGTTTTTTTTAAGTCCGAAATACGAAATTCGGATACGGAATCCGTATTTCGGATACAAAAACAACTACCACATCGACTCCGATATTAACAAAGGTATTTTGGCTTTTTAACTTCATCATAACGAATGTTTGTAAAGTTACGAAAATGTGCCGAAACGAACGAAAATCCGTATTTCGTACGAATCCGAATTGGGTTTCGGATACGAATTACGAAAATACGAAATAATGGATATTACTAAACGGATTTTTTGACGGCGCACAAGTCTACTCTTCATCTCCAGCTCTTTGATTTGACGCGGCAACGGTTTTCTCTGTCTGTGGATCTCCTCCAGGTGTCTCAACTGTTGTCTGAGGCCTTTAAACAGCACGGTTATGTTCTCCGCCACGACATTACTATCAATGTCCCTCTTGGTCCCCTTCAGACGTTGTAGTAGAAGATCTGCGTCTTCTTTCTTGGAGATGAGTTTGTGCCGAGCATCTCCCGTGCCGGTTTCCTCGGAGTCCCGATGACGGGTGAGGAGCCTCAGGTGTTGAGTCTTGGCTGTTATTTCAGTAACTGTTGTGTTCTCTGAGCAGTTTAAAAAAATCTCAATGATATTCTTCAGTTTCAGGTTGGGCTTCAGCTCTGGGCGATGCGAGTACTTCTCCCGACACTCGGGACAGGAGAAGAAGGATTCATCCCGGGAGTCCAGGTGCGTGCTGATACAGGCTTTTCGGACACGAATTACGAAATACGAAATAACGGATATT